TCATTTTGTTTGGGACTCTGTGAGCTTCTTGGATTTGTGTGAGCTTTTTCTTCCCTATATCAGGGATGTTTTCTGTCATTATTTTTTCAAACAGGTTTTCTATTCCTTGCTCAGTTTCCTCTCCCTCTGGCACCCCTATTATGTGGATGTTGTTTCATTTTGTGCTGTCCCAAAGTTCTCTTAGGCTCTCCTCCTGCTTTTTAATTTTTTTTTTCTAGAAGCTACTCTGCTTGGGTATTTTTTCCTACCTTGTCTTCTAGCTCACTGATCCGGTCCTCTGCTTCTTCTAGTCTACTGTTGATGCTTTCTATTGAGTTCTTTATAGCAGTGATGTCATTTTTCATTTCTTCTTGGTTTTTCTTCATTTCCTCTTGGTTCTTACACATATTGTTGAATTTGTCTTCCATTCTTTTCATCCACCTTATGACCATTTCTCTGAATTCTTTCTCTGACAGGTTACTTGCCTCCATTGCCTCCGTTTTGTTTACTTCCTTTTCTGGTGATGCCTGTTTTCCTTTCATGTGCGGGCTGGTTCTTTGTCTCCCCATGATCTCTCTTTTCCAGGTGTTTGGTTATGTAGTTCTCTCTCTGCTGCGTTGATTTAAAGGCACAAAATACAACACAAAAAGGCACAAAGCACAAGGCACTGAACACAAATGTATTCACGATACTAATAACCCCAAATAAAGGTGACCACCAGATCAAAGAGAATTTGAGGATAAGGAAGAAAGAGGAGAAAAAGATAAAAGAGAAAAAAAAAGAAAAAAAAGGAATGTGAAAATGAAATTGGGAAAAGGAAAAAAGAGTAAGAAAGAAAAGAAAGATAATGAAATAGAAGAGGGGAAAAAACTATGTATATGTGGAGAAAATTCCAATAGAACAGCCACTAACCCAACAAATTCAAGCAACAGAATGCAAACTACAAACAACAATTGATATCAAGTGAGGTGAGGGAAAACAGGAGCAAAAATAAATAAATAGATAAATAAATAAATGGAAAAGAAAAACAAAAATAAACAAACATAAAAATAGAAAGAAGAAGCAAAACAATCTCACAAACAAGCATAAAAAAACACCCCAATATACTCAACAGTCAAGTAAACAATAATCAAATGACAGAGAGAAAAAAAATTTGGATAGTGAGGAAAGAGAAGAGAGAGGTGTATATGGATTTAGAGCAGGGGATGGGAATTAGATATATAAGTAGGGTGAAATTTTAACAGGGGTAAAAAGAAGGAATAGGGAAAATCTAAAGCAGGAATAGGGTAAGAGAAACAGGACTTCAAAGAGGGAAAAGTGAGGAGGAGCGTTTTGGTGTAAAGGTAAAGTTGAGGTAAAATAAAATGATGCTAAAGGAAAGATGAAAATAGAATTTAGAACACTAATCCCAAAATAAGATAAAGAGAAAATATAATGACACTTTAAAAAAAGATAAAATGGTAGTAATAACAATGCTAGTTAAAAATAAAAGTGTAGTAATCAAAAGCGTAAAATCAGGTGATGAAAAAAAATAGTTTCTTAATTAAAAGGTGAAAAAAGAATTAAAAATAAAAATGTACAGTAGTGAAGGTGCTTCAGGTCCTCTACTCTTCTTTCTGGGACGCCTTAGTCATGCCAGGTATTCAGGAGAGTGTTGAATTTCCCTGCGATACACTGTTCCTCTGTGTTGTAAACCACAGTCCTGATTTTAAGGCAGGCCGTATTTGTTTCCCTGACTGCCTTTATTTGTGTTTACAGAAGAGTCAGTTCGTGGATCAGCGCATGGGTGGCAGTTTTTCTGGATTGATCTCCAAGGCTATAAGTCCTCTCTATCCAGCAGTTGGGTTTATTTTCCCTGTCGCACTTAAAACTGGTTTGGGAGAGTCGACTGTCCTAGAACCTGTTCTTTAGTCGTTACTCCCGCTCTGTTTCCCAGGTTCCACAAAAACAACTTTCCCCTGCAGTCTCTGCGAGTGACCCCGACTGGGCAATCCCATGTACTGGGTTTAATAATCAAATGCAAAGATTTAATGGGAAGAGAGAGAACAAGAGCCTGAGAAGTTGTGCGAATTCACAACCCCCCACCTTTCAGCTCTGTGAGAAGTCCCTTCTGTGAACCCTCTCTTCCCCAGTGCTAAGCAGCCAGCACACTGGCAAAATCCAAGGTTGCTTTTTGCACCCAGTCCAGCTATGGGCTTATTTTTAGCATTCCCTTCTGCCAGCAGCCCTGCGGGAGCCCTTCCACACTTGCGGATCACGCTGGCCTCAATGGCCGCGGACTTTGTGGGGCTCAGATTTCCCCAGCGCATGTGTGTGCGCGCGTTCCTCTCTCCAACCTGAATTGCAAACTGCACCTTTAGGGGAAGTCTGACCTTACCGTGAGGAGAATCAGGGTTCCTCTAAGTTCACGTAGTCACGCTGCTTGGGGTCCGTTGTTTCTGGGTTAGTAGCCGATCTCTGGATGCCGTGGATGCCGGGTCTTTGGCTTTATATGCTCCCAATAACAGCCACTCAAGATGGCACGTTCTCTGTGGCTGAGCCGGCTCTCCGGGAGAGATTTCAGCCGCAATCTCCAACTGTTCCCTTTTTCCGGGAGTCCTCTGTCTTTCCCAGCTGCAAACTGTCTCCCAGCTGAATATCCTCTGTTTATTAGGGCTGTATGTTACCTGTTTCAGCTGCTCACCCTTATCTGCTCCTGGACAAGGCACGGGACACGTCCATCTATACCTCCGCCATTTTCTTCCTCCCTGGTTGACACTTCTATTATAGAGAAAGGGAGAACAGCAATATTAAAATATTTCTTGCAATTAATTTTCTTTCAGTGTGCACAAATTCGTGCACCAGGCCACTAATCTACAGTAATAAAAGAGAAACATGTAAATTGGTGTCACTTCACTACGCCTGCCAGCCAATCAGATGAGTATGCAAATTAACCCAACAAAGATGGTGGTTAATTTGCATACGCAGGCGCGGAGTGAAGACTGAAGGCTCCAGCCAAGTGAAGAGTGAAGACTAGCCCTAACCGGTTTGGCTCAGCGGATAGAGCGTCGGCCTGCGAACTCAAGGGTCCCAGGTTCGATTCTGGTCAAGGGCATGTACCTTGGTTGCGGGCACATCCCAGTAGGGAGTGTGCAGGAGGCAGCTGATCGATGTTTTTCTCTCATCAATGTTTCTAACTCTCTATTCCTCTCCTTTCCTCTCTGTAAAAAATCAATAAAATATATTTTTTAAAAAAAGAGTGAAGACTGAAGACTGAAGACTGAAGAGGCTTGGCTTCTCCGCTAAGGCTGCAGCGGAGAAACAAAGCCTCACTGTGGCTGCAGCGGAGAAGCCAAGCGGCCATGGAGCTGGAGGCTTAGGTTGCCCCCAGCAATGGAGGAAGGGAGAGAAAAACACACAGGCACAGTCAGGAGCCTGAGAGATCAACACACACGGGGCGCCTGCTCCAAGCCTCCATGGTGTGGCTGGGGGCAGGCCCCCAGTGGACACACACACACACACACACACACACGGGGTGCCTGCTCCAAACCACGGACGTGGCTGGGGGCAGGCCACCGGTGGACACACATACACACACACACACAGGGTGCCTGCTTGGAGCCTCTGCTGCCAGACTGTGGCTTAGGCCACTGAGGGCTCCTGGACTGTGAGAGGGGCCAGGCTGGGCTGAGGGACCCCCAACCCCCAGTGCATGAATTTCATGCACCGGGCCTCTAGGAATATATAGTTACCTGCATTTTAAAACCACAGACACAAACCTCACATTTTTTTAAGTAAAGTAAAAAGTGATGTTGTACTCCAAAGGATGCATGATTACTTGGGACAGAAGGAATATTTTACCCACACTGAAGGCTGACTCCTATAGCTGACTAGGTGTGTTAAACAGTCCCTAGCCAATTTCAACAACTGAAAGCACATGTTTTTCAAATTTCTGTGACTCTAGCACTAAGTCCCTTGTGCAATTGCCTTGTCTGTTTGAGCAGGTGGTCTAACTGAGCCTGCACACAGAGCAGAGGGCAAGGGCACTCATGAAAATGAATTCCATCCATTATTAAAATGTGGCCAATTTTTATTGCATTATTCATTAGTGTATTTTAAAAAGCAAAGATAAAGACCCACTAAGATCACATTGGTCTCAAGCTGTTTAAAGTTTCCAGTTCCATTTCCCCTGTTGTTAGGTTTGACTTGAAGCTGAGAATAACTCTTCTCTGCCCTACAGCTAATTTCTGTTCTCATTGTACTAGTCATGACTTCTAAAGCTAACGAAACAAGGAGTTAATCGCTGCGCGTTTGATTAGATTATTTTTGGTCTCATGGATTAACCTTTCCCACTTACTTTATTTCCAAAAATTGCTTCTGTGTATGTACAATTTACTGAAGCCTGTCAATGGATTTCAGCCCCTAGATCAGTGATGCCGAACCTTTTGAGCTTGGCGAGTCAGCATTTTGAAAAACCCTAACTTAACTCTGGTGCCGTGTCACATATAGAAATTTTTTGATATTTGCAACCATAGTAAAACAAAGATTTATATTTTTGATATTTCTTTTATATGTTTAAATGCCATTTAACAAAGAAAAATCAACAAAAAAAATGAGTTCGCGTGTCACCTCTGACATGCGTGTCATAGGTTCGCCATCACTGCCGTAGATTCTCTTCAAGATGGGAGTCACTGGCATTTAGAGCTGAGAGATCATTCAACTAACTGGCTCCCAGCCTGGGCTTTCTTTCCATTGGAATCACCTGGGAACCCGGCCCCACCTGCACAGGTTCTGATGTAATTGGTTATGGGCTGTGACCTGGCTATTGAGAGGTTTTAAAGCTCCCCAGGGGGGTCTAATGTCTGGCAAAGTTCAGAACCACAGATTTAAACTCCTCAATTTAAATACGAAACAACTGAAGCCAAAACAGGTTTTGACAGCAGGTTGGACATAAGAGTCTGAATAGTCCTGATAATGGGTAAGACAGGACACTTTATACAACAATCATTACCTAATCCATTTTTGCATTTTCTGAAACACAGGTGACCCCAGGCTCCACCTGTGCGGTGTTTGGCCTTGGAGCAGTCGGCCTGTCGGTTGTCATGGGCTGTAAAGCGGCTGGAGCAGCCAGGATCATTGGGGTGGACATCAACAAAGACAAATATGCGAAGGCAAAGCAACTGGGCGCCACCGAGTGCATCAGCCCAGAGGACTTCAAGAAACCCATCCACGAGGTGCTGAAGGAAATGAGCGGTGGAGGTGTGGATTTTTCATTTGAAGTCATTGGTCGGCTTGACACCATGGTATGTATGTGCCATGGAATGCCATGAAATGCGTGTTTCTGCATTCTGGAGAGTGATTTTAGGCAGCAGAATATGAATATTATATGTACAGAATATTTTTCAAACTATGAATAGTGATGTTTCATCTCCTATTTAATGCCTGGATTATTTATTATTATAAGAAATGTTTTATTCCATCAGTTATGCCATCCTAGTTCAAGTAATATTTCCCTTTTAGAGTATTAGGCCATTTAAAATTTACTTTGTTAACTTTTAGGTATAATATTCAAATTAAGTAAACATAAATAATACTAATGCTGTTCTCAAATTGAAAAATTTTATTTTTCAATTTCTCCTCACATTTTTAAACAAAATGGTTTAATAATTTTTATGTTTTAATGACTTCCGATTTTTTTCATAAATCACAATTTGCTCAAAAGAAATAGTGAGCAATTTAAGACAAGTATCATTTTATTAACATAAAACAGGCCCCATTTACCACAGCATACAGCCCAGTGCCTGGCACACATATTAAGCGCCAAATCTATGTGTTAGGCTGAATACTTTTAAAAGTCAACAGATTTTTTCACCAAAAAGTATAAGAAATACATATCTATGGATTACATGAGACAATGCATATAAAATACTTAGCACAGTGCCACTTGTCCAGTGGAAAGCTCTTACTAAATATTATCTGGTGCTACTGATAGGAAGTAATGTTTTCAGTGATGCAGTGCTTCCATCATCTCTACAACATACATAACATTACTTTCAAATAATTACAAACATGGTCAATTACCATGAGGAAGCCATCTCCAGCTAAATTCCTTCCAATTCCTCATGTGGGATTGGATTGTTACTTTATTTGAAGACACCAAATGTCTGATAACCACATGTCCCACAGTCATCTGGTTTTCCAGATGTCATACTCCAAAATCAAAGGATTAATCTTATCTAGTAAAGAGGGAATATGCAAATTGACTATCACGCTGCAAAGGTCAAGATGGCTACACCCGCAGCAGAGGCAGGGATTCTGTTACACAAGATGGCTGCACCCACAGCGGAGGCCAAGTTCCCATAATGAGCCTTAAGGAACAATCAGCAGGGACCTGAATGCTGCGTTCCCAACCTGGTGGGGCTTGACAGGGCACCTCAGGCCGTGCCTCCGACCTTGCCGCCAGGCCGGGGGACCTTAAGCCTCCCCCTCAATCCACTTCCCCCACCAACAGGGCTTGACAGGGAACCTCAAGGTGTGCCCCCTGCCCTGGCCTGGGCCGGGGGGTCTCAGGCAGTGTCCCCTGCCCTGGCACCAGGCTGGGGGACCTGTGGGCATGTTCCCCGCCCAGCAGGGCTTGACAGGGACCTCAAGGTGTGCCCCCTGGCCTGGGCCAGAGGACCTCAAGGTGCAGCCCCCCAGCCCAGGGGAACTCAGGCCGTGCCCCCCCACCCAGACGCCAGGACAGGTGACCTGAGTTCGTGCCCCCCCCCACCCCCACTGGGTGGGGCTTGATGGGGGTGGGGCCAGCTGGGTCTGGATCTAGCCCAATGGGGGTGGTGCTGGCCAGGTCTGGGTCTCGTGCAATTTTGAGGTGCACGCGGGTGGGCGAGGACTTGAGTCTGGGTCTCACGGCATGCCCCAGACTCTGACAGGAGGAAGATTTTCATATACATTTTACTAATTTTCTTTCATCTCTGACACTTCTATTATAGAGAAAGAGCAAATAGCAATATTAAAATATTTCCTCTAATTAATTCCCTTTTAATGTGCACGAATTTTGTGCACCAGGTCACTGGTCAGTATATATAGCTGGGAGATCCTGAAAAAGTGTCCTACTACAACATGTTTAAAGCCCTGACTGGAAGAGGAAGGCTTTCTTTTGGAGTTTCAGAATTATAGGTATAGTTTAAAGTAAAATCAATGCACTGTATACATTTTTGGGAGGTAAGAGCCCATTTAAAACATGTTCATTTCAGTCCAGCAGGTATATTACAAAGTGCTCACCATGATTAATCATCAGGGCAGTGCAAATCAAAATTACAGAGACAATACCTCACCACTCCTGTTAGGATGGCTGTTATCAAAGGGTCAAGAAATGGTGTTGGCAGGGGTGTGGAGACAAGGCAACCCTTGTGCACTGTTAGTGGGAATGTAAAGTGGTTCAACATTTTGAAAAGCAGTATAAAGGGTCCTTAGAAAATTAAAAATAAAACTATGGTATGATCTAGTAACCCCACTTCTAGGTATATATCCTAAGAAAATGAAATCACTACCTTGAATAGATTTCTGCACCCCTATGTTTACTGCAGCGTTATTCACAATAACCAAAATGTGAAAACAACCTAAGTGTCTGTCAACTGATGAGTGAATAAAGAAATTGTGATATGTATATGGTGGCATATTATTCAGCCTTAAAAAGAGGAAAATCCTGCCATTTGCAACAACATAAGTAAGGCTGGGGACATTACGCTAAGTAAAATAAGCCACACACAGACAAATACTTTATGATCTCCTTTATATGTGGAATAAAGTTGAAGTCTTAGAACCACTGAGTACAATGGTGGTTGCCAGGGCTAGGGTTGGGGTAGGAAATGAGGAAATGTTGGTAAAGGGTACAAATGAGAGTTAAAAGATGAGTAAAGTCTGAGGATCTAATGTACAATATAGTGATTATGGTCAATAATATTATATTCTGTTCTTCAAGTTTGCAATGGGAATAGATCTTAAATGTTCTTACTATAAAAAAGAAAATGGTAACCATGTGAGGTAACGTCAACTTGATTGTACTAGTCATTTCATGTTGCATATGTATAATAAATCATCATATTTACATGCTACAGATCATGTTGTATAGCCTACATTTTATTTGACAATTATATCTCAACAAAGCTGGAAAAAATACAGAAAAATTGTCCATATTAGAAAAGGAGAGTACTGTAGGGAACCATTAAAAAGGGAGACCATAAAGTGGACAAAAGACAAATTGTGATGATATAATTGATCTTATATCTTATTCACCATCAAAACACCTGATTTAAAGTACTGAGTTCAAAATACTATTTAATATGCAAATGAAAATGAGTTAACCAACTCATAGATTGCCTGACAATTGGGTGATGATAAAACATTACTTGTATTTGAGGAATCAGGCTTTAAATAGATATATTTGTAATAACATTTGCCTCTTCATTACATTATTAAGGAAGAATTAAGTGTACACAAATTCATTCACCCATTGTCTCATTCAAAAAGTGTTTTCTGGACATTTCCTAAAACCACAGTACTATTCTGGGCATAATGGGATGGAAGAAGCCAAAGACATATAGTCTCTTCCCTCCACATGTTTGCAATGTAGCAAAATCAAAATTACATGATACCATGTACCATGAATGAGGACTATCAGAAAGTCCACTTCAATGATGCCAGATATTAATTTTATTCCAGCTGGCTGCCTTGGAAAGCTGTCAAGAGGCATATGGCGTAAGCGTCATTGTAGCAGTACCGCCTGATTCCCAGAATATCTCTCTGAACCCCATACTGCTATTGGGTGGACGTACCTGGACAGGAGCAATTTTTGGTGGTATGTATTTAGGCTTGAGGGCTGAGTTCTTTTTTTTTTTTAATTTTTTATTGTTGAAAGTATTACATGTCGCCTTTTTCCCCCATTGATTTCTCCCCGCCTTCTCCTGACACCTAGCACATGCACTCACCCCCCCTACTGTCTATGTCCATTGTCTATGCTTACATGCATGCATACAAGTCCTTTGGTTGACCTCTTACCCCTGCCCACCGCCACCCTCCTCTGCCTTCTAATTGGGCTGAATTCTTATTAATCTCAGGATTTCTCCCCTTCATCAAGTGACAAAGCCAGGTTTTAAAAAGCAAAATGTTTGAAATAAATTAATAGGCTCCAATACATCTACAGGCTCCAAATCAACTAGATGTAGAACTAATACACACATTCCCAAGACAGGCTTTTCTGGTGTCCCCATAATCTAGGGTCTTTCAGCACCACTTCTCTTTATACATGTGACTGCACAAGGCATGAAATATACCTAAGAGGACACAGGAAGTCCATAGCAATAATTCATGGTTACGCTCATTGCCCAAATCTAGACAGCTGCACATTTTGCTCCTTGCCTTTGGGAATAACCATGCATACAATAATTTCTCTGTGAGAGAGCTAATAACTAAGGACCCTAGCTTAGCTCGTCAGATTTTTTTAAAGTAACAACAACAACAAAAAGTCTAACCACTGCAAGAGGATATTGGAGCACTCAGTCTCTCACTGACCTCAGTAATAGTAGTCTTCGTACAAGTAAGTAGCAGTAGAACTTCCACTTGAATTCTATTCAGAAAGTCTCCTCTCTAGTTCTCTTACCCCTGGCTGCCCCTAACAATGATGTCATGTTCTTTTCAGGCTTTAAGAGTAAAGATTCCGTCCCCAAACTTGTGACTGACTTTATGGCTAAGAAGTTTTCATTGGATCCATTAATAACCCATGTTTTACCTTTTGAGAAAATAAATGAAGCATTTGACCTGCTTCGTTCTGGAAAGAGGTAGTTTTTAAGTTTCCTTTTATGGTGGGGGTTTGATTAATAGAGAAAAGAGGTGAAAGTATGAGAAAAACATTGGAGTGCCTTGGTTTTAGATTACTAGTTCAGTCTTTGCATGCAGAACATTTAAGATCATATTGTGAGAAGCTAGGAACAGTTGTTTTGCATTTTCTGCTGAAACATTGTTCTGCTGAAATGAAATTACATATGTTGGTTACAGTGAATCTAAATGATCAAAGCCACTCATCCTATATAATAAAAGGGTGACATGCAAATCGACCAAACAGCGGAACTACCAGAACAGCTGTGGCCCCTCGCCCCAGCCACCCACATCAGTACACAATTTTGTGCACCAGGCCTCTAGTCTTTATATACAAAATTACACTCACCCTTGCTAAGAAAAAGAATCAGAGTCCTGCTGTCATAAGCATAACCTGGAGTCACTGAAGCCTCTGTCTGGCCAGTTAAAAAGGTTGACATTAATGGCTGTAAATGTAAATTACATATAGGAGTAGGTGGCGCTACATTGGGATTGTTTTAATATAATGTAACATTTGATATAAATGTTATTTTAAATATTAATGTAATATAATATTTAATATAATTTTTAAAGGCATGAAGACCTTTTCTAAAGTATTTATTCATCAGAAGATGATTCTGAGAAAGAACATGAGTTGTAGTGTAAATGTTATATGTCTGATCTTCCCAAGAATGGAGTCTCTCTAAATACAAATCAGCTTTATCTCCTTATGCACCACTTTATCAGAGCTCTATTAAATCTTCATCGTTTACTGTTACATCATTGCTTCCTTCAGGCAAGATACCCATCATCTTATAATTTGTGCAATTTTGCATTGGGGTTTAAATCCCAGCAATTTGCACTAAATGTGTGACCTAGAGCAAGTTACAAATCTCTCTAAGCCTCAGCATTTTTTAAAAATATATTTTATTGATTTTTTACAGATAGGAAGGGAGAGGAACAGAGAGTCAGAAACATCGATGAGAGAGAAACATCGATCAGCTGCCTCCTGCACATCTCCTACTGGGGATGCGCCCGCAAACCAAGGTACATGCCCTTGACCGGAATCGAACCTGGGACCTCTCAGTTCACAGGCCAACACTCTATCCACTGAGCAAAAACGGCCAGGGCAGCCTCAGTATTTTTAATCTTTAATCTTTAAAGTTTGCCTCATAGCATTGTTGAATTTAAGTGATAAAATACACAAGGAACATCTATGGAGTATGTGACAAATAGCAAAAACTCATTACCCATTATTGTTTTCAGTTAACTATTATGCCAAGCATGTAGGCTCTAAAAATGTTTTGTGAGAATCCCAATGCATAATAAAGCCTAAATGAAAGCCATGTTTAGGTTTGAATTTAAGGTTGGAGAAAACACAAGACCAAACCCGGAAAAGGTGAACTATCTTTGACTTGAATGCATAGGGGTGGCAATGGAGTGGCAGGAAACACAGACACCTGTTCACTGAGACACATCAAATGTAAGAGTCCAAGGGTGGAAGGGTGGACTCTTACATGGAAGAGTGTGAACTACATAAATATTAAAATAATATCTTTAATTTTGTGTTTCAGTATCCGCACCATCCTGACATTTTGAGGCCATACAAATGATGTGAAGTCATTTTTCAGGCAAATATTTAAACACAAAGTGAAAGTTAGATGAGCCATCAGCGGAGTAATTGAATCCAATAAACATTTCTTCTTAATCACTCCACTCACGTTGCATGGTGTCGTCTTTCCCATTAAGGAAAAGGATTTCTTTGACTTCTTGCACGTTTTGTACCGTTGCCACCCTTAGCCACCGAAGCCCAGTGGGAGAGGTCCTCATTTTACTTGTCCCCAGCATACACTTGATGGGCTCTTGTGCTCAAAGTCTTTTACTTCTGCCTCTACTTCCACTGCCTGTATTTTCCTTTCTATGAAATGTACCAAAGCCCAAAGGTAAAAACTGCCGGGTAAAGTGTACATTCAGACTTTCAGGTGAATATGGACCAGGATGTCTAAATGCAGGAAATTTCTTAGGGAAATGTGGCACACACATTTTATATGATACAGGGGAGTATATTTATTGATTTTATACTCTTTGCTCTTAATATATAACTGTTCTTTAAAATAAAAACAATTTCGTGCTACCTGTGATAAATGTGAGGTTCAGATATTAAATGTGAAAACTGAGCTATTCCTAGAAACTTATTTTAAAAATCTGGATTTTTACTCATGAAAGTGCTTCATTGGTTAAAACATTTTACTTGTTATAATTAACTGAAAAAGAGTCATAGGTAATTAAAAATATGGTGGCTTAAAGTATATGGTTGAAGCAGGTGTGGACACAGCATGTAAAATGGTAACTAAGAAATGCACAAACATCAAAAGCAATATGTTTTCTAAATGTGTGCATATATACAGATGTACAATTGTGCTACAATTATTTTCTATCTAGAACTTTTCTATTAACTACCATGTCTTAAATCATGCCTATAACCCTGGAATTAGTTTAATGTTTTTAAATATGTGGAAGCCTGGGGTACGTTTGTTAATGCTGTCCCACCATCAGGGGAAGGTTTGCATTTAGGCTTAATCTCTAAATGTGTAATGGAAAGCTTATTCCCATAAGGAGTTTTAGTTTTCTCCAAAAGTGTATTTGTTTCCATGTCTATAATTTGTTTGGTGTTGTGGAAAGGACTCCAGACTAGGACAAGAGATCCCCCACTTCTCTGTGACCTCCTGTAACTTACTCAACTTCTCTGAGCCCATTTCACCCTTTATTTTTAAAAATTATTCTATTGACCCATTACAGCTCAGAAAGCTTAGATGAGATGATGCCAGTTAGAGAGATTTCTCAACTGTGAAGTGCCATAAAGATGTAGGGGATAGTACAATTGTTTTGTAAGAGGCTGAAGGAGATATTGAGGGTCCAGGCAGCTTCAGAATGTCCCCTTCGGTCCATGCGGCTGGGTGCTCCAATGACTTTATATTGGTGCTGATGATGTGAGACCCAGAGGAAAAGATGATGGTTCTAAATACCCACATCACAATAGTGAGCATAATGTTCTGCTGGTTGTACAAAGGCCTACATCCAGCTTCATCTCCCCTGCCGCCCAGGTTGTGGGGAGCGAGTGGAGAGCAGGATGTAGGTAGGCATGTCAGTGGCACAGTCCTCCTCCATGGGGTGTGTGGAGAGGTTGAGGGAGGGTGCTTTTTGTGCACTGGCTCTCTGTATACATTGACGTTGGTGGGGAAGGAGACAGCTGAACTCAACATATAAAAATGGGACTCCAGATTGTTGGTATCCTGATAAGCCTGTAAGGGGCACATGGACCCGGTGTCCTGTTGGTCTCTAGTAATGAAAATTCTGACTCTAGAATCAAGAATTTCCAATTTGCCCTGGCCTGTGTGGCTCAGTTAGTTGAGCATTGGCCTGTGCATCAAGAGGTTGCTGGTTTGATTCCTGGTCAGGGCACATGCCCAGGTTCGGCACCCATCCCCAGTAAGTGGCATGCAGTAGGCAGCTAATCGAAGTTTCTCTTTCATTGATGTTTCTCTCTCCTTCTCTCTTCCACTCTCTAAAATTAATAAAAAATGTATATTTTAAAAATTTCCATATTAGTTTGTTGGTCTTCTTTTTAAAAAATATAACTGTACGTGCATATAGCTTGCAATCACTTTTAGCCAACTGCAAAAAGTTTAATCAAAATGAAGAAAATTTTCAGTTTGAAGAAAAAGAATTTCATGTTGATGGTTTAACTAATCACTCTAATACAATATCTTAGGTTTTCCAGCAATAGTAAATAAAGAAAAATTCAACTCTGAATTAACCCTTTGTTGCTTTATAAATCACACAAGCTGCTCTAAGATTAGAAAGTCATTTTGACAGAATCATTAGAAAATCATAAGATAAAGTGAGAGCAAGCCTATGTTTAATAATTAATTCTTACATACATGACTGCTTAATTCTGATAACAAATGATTGTTGCACAAATAACCTCAATACGTTTTCCCTGAAGATTCTAAGGTAACAATTTTATTGAAGTACATTAAATTCTATTTACCTTTCAAATACCTAGTAATTTTCATGAAATTGGCCATTGCATAAGAAGAGAATCCAATATTAGTGGGACAAGAATAAAGTAGAATGGGAGCATTACAGTGGAGGCCAAACACTAGTCAGATGAGATTGATGGTCAGATGTGTGGACTTGGTTAGCTCCTTTCATTCAGGACCCAGCGTCTGGAAGCCCATCTGCACAGCCCTACCACAATCAACAAGAGAACCCAGAAGTTGCTTCATTACTCACTAACAATGCTAACTCAGGAGAGAGGACAACTAGAGAGAGAAAGCATCTGGTTCCCTAGTCCAGGCTTGTTTTGAAGTATCTGGTGTGTTAACAAAGAAGTCAGTAGATAGATTTATAATGAGAGAAAGCAAGTTCAGAGAGATTGCCAAATAATATTTATATAAACATGTTGTTTATACACTACCACTCACCCAGAAATCATTCACAGTGTTTTTGCAGATATATAATTGCCTTAAGGGTGAGTCATTACTACAGTTTTGAAACAAAAATAATTTTAGTTCATTCTAAATTTAAGTAATAAATATCTCCCAGCTAATTTCATATTTCAAAGTGTAACAGTGAGGAATTGTAACCCACCACACCCTTCTTTTGACATTTTTTTCTGTAAATGCTGACTCTAATATTTAGCTTATAGATAAACAACATTATATAAGAATCTCAGAGGGAAGGAAGGAGGGGGCATGAAAAGATCAACCAAAGAACTTATATGCATACATGCATAACCCTTGGACAACAGTGCAGTGAAGTCCTGGGATAGGGGAAGAAGTGGGGTGTTGGTGGGGGTGTGAATGGGGACATCTGTAATACTTCAACAATAAAGATAAATTTAAAAAAAAGAATCCTGGGAACTAACTTCAGAAGATGCAGACTCTGACCATCAGTCATCCCAGTTCTGGGAAATTTGCTAACCTTGATCCATAAAACTAGGTGACAAAGGCCAGGATGATGCATTTAAGACCATCACCTGACCAGTTTTTGAGATCTTATTATGATGGACTGTGCTGGCCTGCACGTAGGAAACTTTTCAACTGCCTCCCGACCTCTTTGTTCTTCTTTCCCTCTCCCTCCTTATAAAAATTGTCTGCTCTGAGATGTAGAGATAGGCTTTGTGACAAGAGTCCCTCATCTTCTCAGGTGTCTGGCACTTGAATAAACCCTTTTCCTTTTTCACCAACATCTGTCTAATGCAGTGGTTCTCAACCTTCCTAATGCCGAGACCCTTTAATACAGTTCCTCATGTTGTGGTGACCCCCAACCATAAAATTATTTTCATTGCTACTTCATAACTGTAATTTTGCTACTGTTATGAATCGTCATGTAAATATCTGATATGCAGGATGTATTTTCATTGTTACAAATTGAACATAGTTAAAGCATAGTGATTAATCACAAAAACAATATGTAATTATATATGTGTTTTCCGATGGTCTTAGGCGACCCCTGTGAAAGGGTCGTTTGACCCCCAAAGGGGTCGCAGCCCACAGGTTGAGAACCGCTGGTCTAATGAGTTTGGCTTTCATGTTGACAGGTACTGAACCTTAGTTCTGGTTACAAGAATGGATTGGAGAAAGAGATTAGGAAATAACTGGGCAACTAAGTCTTTCTTTTGAACTTCAAACCTCAGTAAATTAGAAGTGAAAGAAAGCTAAAGTGAAATAAATTCCTTCATTAATGAAAGGAAATGCTAAGGCATTTGTTTTATCTTTGCAAAATCTTCAAACTATAATGAGTAGCAGAAAAAAATTAGAGCTATTAATGACCTGTTATTTTTCATTTGCTTCCTTCCCCTCTTCAGGGGCATTTAAAGACAGGACATTGAAGAATATGGTGGTTAGCTTTTTCAGTGTGAGTGATATTTGAGGCTCTCTGGCCTCTTTTCCTCCTTCTCTGCAATAGTTCTGAAGAAAAATAAAGGAGTAAAGAAGGGGAAAGGATAACAATTATATCCAAAGCTAATACCTAAAGGCAAAATTGTCAATGTTTAAGTTGAATTTTGCATTCTGTGATTACAATGATTGTTACCTAGGAGCAAATATTTACACCTAAATTTAAAGGATGAAGAATAGTTTGGAAGGAGGAAAATTGGAGGATGGCTCTGCAGACAGAGGGCTTAGCATAAAAGAGCAGAATGTGTTTAGGAAATTTTAAGCATTTAGTATTGCTAAAATATTGCTTTACAATGGGAAATGTCTGGGTCAGGTAACTGCAATTCTTGAATTCTTCTAAAGAGCTTTAGATTTTATCCTCTGGATAATGGGAGCTCTATTAAAATCTTCTGCCCAGCTGAGGTGGCTCAGTGGTTGAGTGTCGACCTATGAACCAGGAGGGCATGGTTGGATTCCTGGGTTGTGGGCTTGATTCCCAGTAGCGGGTGAGGAGGAGTCAGCCATTCAATTATTCTCTCTCATCATTGATGTTTCTATTTCTCTCTCTCTCTTCCTTCCTCTCTAAAATCAATAAAAATATATTTTTTAAAATTCTGAGCAGATTGGTAAAATGATAAGATTAACATATTAGAAGTTCATTCTTACACCTGTGGGTGGGGTTATTAGAGGTGAGGAGAGAAAGAGAATGAGGAGGATACAGACAAGAGAGGATGGGGCCTATTTTAGAGCAGTGTCCAAGGGGAAGGAATTCATCAGAATTGGATAATCTTAGGAAGTAGAGTTGACTTGGCACCAGGACTGAGGGAATGTGGGCCCATTCTGTCCTGACAACTGAGTATGGATGGTAGGCCCCTTCACCAACTTGGGAGCTAAGACCATTGGACTTGACAAGTTTGAAGCACTTCTAAGATTTACAACTGTAGTTGTCCATACAAATCTGCAGCTAGGAAATAAGTTCTGAGTTAAATATATAGCTTGCAGGTGGATTCCCATTTTGACAATTCCCTACAGTGTAAGTCCTCCTTTCCTAGCATGGAATTCTCCCCCAAAACATTACAAGATTCAGAAGTGTGATTTAAGTTCTACTAATCCAATACACTCATGAGAGCCCATGCCGAAGAACTACAGTTTCTTAAAAGAGGCAGTATATAGAGCAAGCATGTCAAATGCACGGCCCGAGGGCCACATGTGGCCCACAATAAATATTTTTTGTGGCCCAGCCAATATAATGGTATGTAAAAAACATTTTAATAAAAATTTCATAACAATTTTTACAATACCCTGTTACATATAATTATTAATAACAAACTACAACGTTCGCTAATGACTGATTACTATAGTTGTGTTGCATTCATTTCCCTTACACGCCTTACATGCAGGCGCACCATTTCTCTCCACTACTACTAGCAGCGAATATTTTAGCAGCCTATTGCCACGTCTTTAGTCTTGGACTGACTTGTTTGGTGTACACAACAGGAAATATTTCACTTCCAGAGAACAAGAAAAATTGGTTTATTTGCATTACACTTATTAATTTGTGCAGTTATTGAGTGTCTGGTAAGTTAATGTTCAAGAAAAAATATTAATTTTTATTAAAATGTTCTATTATTTTATGTTAACGATTACTTATTTATTTCAGCCCTTTGTATTCAGCATGTCTCTACAAAATAAACCGATGTTTCTATGAAAATTGAAGCTTTTGTTTTTTTGCGGCCCACATAAACTCAAACCTTGTTTATTTGGCCCGTGTTAGCCTTTGAGTTTGACATGCTTGATATAGAGGATCCATTCTACTGGCGTGGATCACAGGAGGATAGATAGGGTCTGGAGTTGGAGTCAAAAGCTGGCAGCTCCCTGATCAAGGCAAGCTGGGTCCTGACATTATTTTTGGAAGCTCAGCCTATAGTCTGCTTGCTCAATCATCTCAGTTATTCTGCTTGCCCAAAATATGTAAACATGGAAGTTTTTGAGATAATGGAGATGATAGCTAATATGGAATTAATCTGCTTGGCTTCGAGGTGGTAGTTGAGTCCCTGGGCATAGATAATATTGCCCTGGCAGAGAGTATAGGACAGAAGGAGAAATGGAAGGAGCATTTTAGTCAGGGAGAAAATATCAGCTCAGGGCCACAGACAGAGGTGTTTGTACTACTCTCAGTGGAACCATAAGTCAATTGATTGAGAGCTGGGAGACATGATTGAACAGGCAGAAAGATGACAGACTGTGGTCATCTTAGTGATAGGCGTTGGCTCCTTTCCGAAAGAAAAGAACTATTGAAGGTTTGGCAAATGTGGTAATCTCGAAAATTAATTTAACAGTAGTAGGTAGGATAGATTGAGGCCCAACAAGGCGATCAACTGGAAGAGAGCTGCTGTGTGACATGAGTGAGACAGATCTGGGGGCTCCCAGGTTGAGCGCAGAGCGTTAACCCTTCCAGCCCCCGAGGGCGAGGGCGACAAGGAGGACAGGAGGGCACAGGGGCCGGGGTCAGGATGCCCGCTGTAGGCCCCCCCCACCCCCCCTCCCTGCCCCCCCAGGCTGCCTCTGCCATCTTGGGCGGCCCCAGAGGGTGGGCGCGGATTTCGGGTCAGACGCTCAGGAAGCTGCTCTGGCTGCGAGGAGCGGCCCCCTCCCGCAGCCCCGGCGCGCCTCGGACCCCTCCTTCCGCCCAAACGTGGCCAAGTGAGGGTGCTCCGGTTCCGGTAGCTGAGGCCCGGGGGGCAGCGCGCGGCGTCCGATCCGACCGCCCCGGAGAGGCCGACGGATACCCGGACAGACGGATTCCCAAAACCCCCGTCCCGGGCATTAGCGACGGGCTGCGCAGTCCATGTGGGGACCTGGAGTCAGGGCCCAGGGCCTGTCGCCGGTGCGGGCGCCGCCAACACCACCTCTGCTGCTGCTGGTGGCGCGCGGCGGGGCGGCGCGCGGGGCAGCGAGGGCTGCGCGCGAGGCGACGGAGGCGGCGCGCGGGGCGGCAGAACGGCGCGCGGGGCGGCGGGGGCGGCGCGCGAAGCGTCGGGGGCGGCAGGAGTCGAGGAGGCGGCGGGTGCGGCGCGCGGGGCGACGGAGACCGTACGCTGCGAGCCGCCGCTGCATACCTTCTCCGCGATGTGGGCTGGTTTCGCGCTCGCTCCCGGGCTGCTCACGCTGCGCATACTCTTCCCCAAGAGCCACTTGTTGCGGCGCATCTTCTGGACTCGCTGCTGGACAGCGGCAGCCGCAGCGGGGTCGGGGCGGGAGGGCGGCGGGCTCTCTGTCCCCTCCTGCGCCTCAGAGCACGAGCTGCGTTAGTCTCGCCTGCCTTCCTGCAGCTGCCCAGCTACCGGGAGCTCAAGTATCTGTCAGCCTACAAGGGGTCCATGCGGCTGCAGCAGCTCAGCTCCGGGGAGGTGGTGTTGCCCACGTCGGTGCTTGCACGGCCGCCCTGGAAGCGGCGGCACCACGGACACGAGGCAGCCGAAGGCTGCTTCCCGCTCCCCCGAGCGCCCAGGACCTGACCGCGCGGGCAGAACTGGGCTGCGGGCTGCGGGGGGGAGTGCCATTGGCCACCAACAACTGTCACCAGGCCTAACCGCCCAACCGCCCAACCGCCCGGCGACTGGGTTGGGGACCCGCTGTCCCCCTGGATCCTGAGTTTCCCCACCTTTCGTTCAGTTCAAGGCAACATTAGGCAGCGCGGCGGGGCAATTGCAGCCGACTAGGCCGGGACGCACCTTGGAAAGATGTTCCCCTGCACCCAGATGGCGGTCATTAGTAAGTGCCTGCTGCCCGCATCCCAGAGAGCGCGGGAGCCCTTTAGTGCAGCCGGAGAAGCGCAGCATCCATTCGGGATGAGGGGCAAGGGACGAAGCTCCACTCTTTTCCCTCCATCCAGGACAGGTCACTGCCTCCCAGGAAGGGTGAGGAGCGGCTTGGGGCAGCCCAGGCTGGAGCCTGGATTGGGTGCCTCCCTTGAGAAGAACCCCCAAACCCTTCCATGTTTTCCTGGCCAAGCATAACACAGCAGTTGGTTCAGTTTGGTGGGGAATACTCTTGATATCGAGATATCGGTTAGTGGCTGTACCTATTCAAGAGACAGGCTTTACGCATATCTAAGACCATCTCTGGAAGAAGGTACAGCTGGACTTCGGATTTTCCAATAACTGAGAAGATATTTATATTTGTCTTTTACAAATATTTTTTACCATGTATTGAACGTATCAGGAGCATATTTCTGCAATTAATGACAAGATACTGGTCTCACCATCTTTTCTAGGCCTCAATGGCCCAGGAATTGCCCACACTCTCATGATTGTTTAATAAAATGTGGGACATTATTTCATTTACAATGGGGGGAAAAGGAGGCATGGTTGAATGAGAAAACATATGTGACAAAAACATGAAGGATATCTTATTTTCACTATTTGGGAAGAATGAACTTTATTTTTAGTCCTGTGGCATAACATAAGACTTTTATACTAACTACCCATTATGTAATCTAAGTCTTCATTGTAGCTAGATGTAAAAATGATCACCACAGCCCTAACTGGTTTGGCTCAGTGGATAGAGCGTTGGCCTGTGGACTCAAGGGTCCCAGGTTCGATTCCCGTCAAGGGCATGTACCTTGGTTGCGGCCACATCCCAGTAGGGGGTGTGCAGGAGGCAGCTGATCGATGTTTCTCTCTTATCGATGTTTCTAACTCTATCCCTCTCCCTTTCTCTCTGTAAAAAATCAATAAAATATATTAAAAAAAATGATCAAGACATATATGCATACCATGGAGCATGATGCCATGTTGCTTTCCCTGTTTCATTTGGCATTCTTGTTAAATTGTGTTTTGTGGCCCAGAATGTGATCCGCCTTGGTGAAAGTTCCATGTCAGCTTGAAAAGAATGTGTTCTGCTGCTATTAATGACGTAGTCCATAAATGTCTTATGTACAGTTAATTGATAGTATTGTTTAGTTCAACAATTTAGATCAGTTTAGATCAGTCTTCACTGATCTTCTGCCTGCTAGAATTGTCCTTTTCTGCTAGAAGGATGCTGACACCTCCAGCTATAATAATGCGTTCATTGATTTTCTCCTTGTAGTTCTATCAGATTTTGGCTCAGCAGTTTAATGACCTCTTTATAGGCACATACATGCTTAGGATTGTTATATGTTCTTTCATTTTAACCTTTGTACTAGCTTTTGTGTTAGTCGACCTATCGCTTTTATTATATGTTTGCTTTTGTCAGTGAGAAATTTTTTCTTTCCTATCTTTTCTTAGTTATTAAAAAAATTTGTTTTTCTTCTTAAAAAGATCTCCTAAATATTTTTGGTAATAACGGTTTGATAGTAGTGAACTCTTTCTGCCTTTTCTTGCCTGTGAAACATTTCATCTCTCCTTTGATTCTAAAAGATAGCTTTCCTGGGTAGAGTAATCTTAGTTATAGGTTCTTGTGTTTTTCTTTTTTTTTCCAATTACAGTTTATATCCAATATTATTTTTCTTTCAGGTGTGCCAGTCTCTTTTAGCCTGCAAAGTTTCTCTTGAGAAATCAGTTGATAGTCTTATAGGAGCTACCTTTTCTCTTGCTGTTTTTAAGATCATCCTTTGGCATTTTTGTTTTCTTTTGCTTGCTTTTTTATCTCCCCTATACTCTCCTCAACCTCCTCCTCATGACTCTCCCCCCAGCAATCACTGCACTATTGTCCATGTCCATGATTTTTGTTTTCTTTTTCTTTTTTGCTGATATGTGTTTTGGTGTGGGTCTCTGATTTCATCTTATTTGGAAGTCTGCACTTTCTGGACTTGTATGTCTATTTCCTTTGACAGATTAGGGAACTTTTTAGTAATTACATCTTCAAATCTTTCTCTCTTTTTTACTCCCTCCCTCCCTCTCTCCCTCCTCCCTCTCTTTTCTTTCTGGTACTCCTATGATACAAATGTTACATTTCATGTTGTCCCAGAGGTCCCTTAAACTATCCTCGTGTTTTACTTTTTTTTCTTTTTTGCTACTCTACTTGGGTATTTTCTGCTATCTGTCTTCCAAATTACTGATTCTCTTATCTGCTTTATCCAGTCTGCTGTTGATTCCCTCCAACGTATTCTTCATTTCAGTTATTGTAGTTTTCATTTCTGACTAGTTCTTTCTTATGATTTCTATGGCCCTGGCATGCTTTGAGTTGCTGTCCCTTCTCTGGAGCTTAGGGTGAGAGTTGTGAGCAAGTGAGGCTGTACTTAGGCCCTTTAAGAGGATGATTTTGTTTACAGCAACCCTCCATCTCGCCTAGAGTGAATTCCAGCTGATTTTCATAGCCAGCTGTTGTAGGGATTTCTCGTCTCAGCACAGGAGCTGCAGGTTGGGGACCTCCATGGCCAATGTATTCCTCCCTATTTTTAACCACCACATGTGGATGTGTGACCAGTCTGTTCCACATTTCTGTGACCACTCTGTTCCGCATTTCTGCTCACTCAGAATATGTATGAATATCCAAACCTGTAGGAAATTTTTATAATTTATTTGAGTCAAACCGAGGCTATGTCTGGAAGCAAGATCTCAACAGACTGAGAAAAATGCTTCCAAGAAATGACAGTTTCTTTTATGCATTTGGAATTAAGAAGAGAATGTAAGGCTCAGCTTGTGTGGCTCAGTTGTTGAGTGTCGACCAACAAACTAGGAGATCACGGCACCTGCCTGGTCAGGGCACATGCCTGGGTTGCAGACTTTATCTCATTGGGGGGTGTGCAGGAGACAGCCGATCAATGATTTTTCTCTCTTCATTGATGTTTCTATCTCTCTCTTTTCCCTTTCCTCTCTGAAATCAACAAAAACATATTTATGTTAGTCCATTTAGGCTCCTGTCAAATAAATGTCAGTTTACACAACCAACTGGTTTAAACAACAGCATTGATTTCTGATAGTTTTGGAAGCTGGGTAGACTAACATAAATTGAATTCAAATTATTCCTAATGCTTATCCCACCATCACTTTATAAACTCACTCATGTACGATGTGTCTTTCTAAATTGATTGGGGTATATGAGCTTTTTGATGCCTCTCAGAATCTCTGAAAAGTGGTCAGACTCTCATCATCATGCTCTGCACAAGTGAAGGTGAGCAGTAGGGAGAACAAGGTGGTGACCATTCTGTACAAGCAGTGTCTTCTTTTCCAGGTGGATGTAGTGTAGCCAATATAACTGACTAAAGTTGAAAACAGATAATAGTGTCATGCCCTTAACAGTTTTAGAGAAATGTAATATTTATGTTAATATATACATGTTGACAGATTATATCTAATTAAGCAATTGAATGCACTGTGCTCCCAAGTGTTGGTATAAGACTTGAGATTCATTAAAAGTCAAACTTAGAGGCTTTCTCTTATTCATGGCACTAACCAATGGATAATAGAAATACACAAGATTGTGTGTTTTTCAATTTTGACTGTGCAAGAGAGATCAATATTTAGTTTTTAACTGAAATGTTCTCTCTACAAAGCCTCCTTTGGGTCTTTCTGTCAGATGCCATCCCGATGATCTGACTTGTTTGCCTGTGTCTTTTTTGCCATAGATTGTGAGTTTCTTTTATGGGTAATCATTGTAGCTAATATTTACTGAAGATTGTCCTATCTGCCAGGTTTCCTGGTAAGTGTTTTAAAGGGCTTGTCTCATTTGTTCAACAAACAATGCTTTGAGGTGGTACTATTATTCTATTATTTTACAAATAAAGAAACTAAGGGCAAATTCACGCAGCTAGTAAAGATAGGGCCTGCCTGGAATCCAAGGCCATGTCATCAGCATGACCCCGTACTGCCTCTAGGCAGAGGTAGAGGCCATCTCTTATCCCTCCTTGCCACCCCAGTGCACCCAGCTGAATGCCTGGAACAGGGAGGTGCTCAGGCAGTGCTGCTAGGTATTGAGTAGAGCAGAAATGCCAGGGTCATGAGCACCCTTTCTGACTGACTGGTGTCTGACCTCTCTGCTATGAAGAGGAGGAGGGTGCTGGGGCAAGCACATTCCTCTGGCTTGTACTTCTCTCTGTCCTATGTCATTTGTGCTGCTTCCTTACTGCTCCTTCTTTCTAACTGCAGCATGTGGATTAGAAGTTGCAGCTTAGTGCACACAAACGGGAAATGAGAAGAAGAGAGAATAAACGTGGAATCCAGAAAAAAAGAGAGAGATTAAAATTTATGTGTAGAGAAATATTTAACCAGATTAATCAAGCTGTTATCCATAATTGGCAAATTACAAAGTACAGGTCTGAGTTGTGGATTAGTGCCCATTTCTTTCTGATTTGATATAGTTTGAGAATAAACTTGTGGGTCTGGCTAAAGACACCAGATCACATGTGTAGAACTGAGCATTACTCAAGCAAATAAAATATCTGTGCAACATATCTGTTTCATGTAATCGAGCAGGAAAGGGTCTGCAAGAATCCATCCGCCTCCTGGCCTGCAGAAAGAACAGAAACATGAGCACAGCAGGAAAAGTAAGCATTTTTTTTTTTTTACTTTTGAAAACATATTCTCATTATATAATTCACAAAGA